CTTTTCATGCATTTGCAGTTTTTGCCAAGCTGCTAAACTATATTGAGAGCCAGAAAACTGTGAAAAAGGAAGACGACATTAAAGCAATAAATCAAGCTGTCAGATGTTGTTACAAAGCATGTATCGCTTTACAAGTAACTGTTTTACTTACTTTAAACGTAAAATCGTTCTGTTTACACTGTAAAATTTCTGTGTCTCATGTGCATTGGACTAATTAAAATCAAATTTGAGACTAAAAGTCGTCTTGCTATTCCAGAGTTTTCTGGTTAATAACTTAATATGGAAGTAGGGGTCTTATGCATATATTTCTATAATGCCACGCTTCGACTTTTCTTTCGAAACTTTTCAGGTAAAGAAGTTTGATGAATGTGACTGAAATAAAATCAAGTTGTTTATCTACTTCCAACATCAAGAGTTTTAAATTCTTTTCCGAAAATGTTGAAAAGTTAAATTTTATTCTGCATGAATGGTTGAGAAGATTCAAAGCATTGAAGATATTATATGTAGATTGTAAATACTCATATTTTCTTTGCACTTCAAAAATGTTGATATCTTTAACTCCCGCTGAAGGAAGATGTGTAATCTTCATTAAAAGGATTGAATCCTAAGGGAGGTCACCAGAGTATAATAAAAAATGAAGAACTAAACTTAACCAAACTAAATTTCTGGATGTAGTATGACTCCCTGACCTTCCTGACCATCTGCATATGAGTGGCCAGGGGCACGAAAGTGTACACCTACAGGGGCCTGGGTATTTTCTTGTCCTAGCTGTGTATAATATATTGTGTTAATATTAGAGCTAAAGAAATAAGTAGGACAGTCGGGGACTCAGGAAGTTATTTATGTTATTTTACCAGTCTATAATCTATATGTAAAATCAAGTATTGATAAAAGTCTGCTTCTACTTCTCTCCCAGCTTCCACTTTTCTCCTTAGTTACATTTCTTTTAGATTTCAACTTCTTTTCCTGCTTTCACTTCTCTTCCTGGTTCCACTTCTATTCTCATGGTTTCACTTCTCTTCCTGATTCCAATTTAATCTCCTAGGTTCCATCTCTTTCCCTGGTTCCAACTTCCACTACTCTCTTTAGTTTCACTTCTCTCCATCCAGAGTTACTTCCTGGTTCCACTTATCTCTCTGGTTTCGCTGCTCTCCCTGGTTCCACTTTCCCTTGCTTCCACGTCTTTTCCATGTTCCACTACTCTTCCTGGTTCCATTTCTCTCTTTGGTTCCCTTTCTCTCCCTGGTTGCACTTCTCTTCTTGGTTCCACTTCTCTCACTGGTTCCATTTCTCTCCCTGGTTACAATTTCTCCCTGGTTCCACTTTTATCTCTGGTTCCGCTGCTCTCTCTGGTTCCACTGCTCTCCTTACTTCCACTTCTGTTCCCTGATCCACTACTCTCCCTGGTTCCATTTATTTCCCCGGTTTCACTTCTCTTCTTGGTTCCACTTCTCTCCCTGGTTGCCCAATTCTCTCCCTGGTTCCACTTCTCTCCCTGGTTCCACTTCTCTTCTTGGCTCCGCTGCTTCTCTCCCTGGTTCCACTTCCCTCCCTGGTTCCACTTCCCTCCCTGGTTCCACTTCTCTCCCTGTTTCCACTTCTCTCCCTGGTTCCACATATCTCTCTGGTTCCGCTGCTCTTCCTGGTTCCACTTATCTCCCTGATTTCACTTATCTCTCTGGTTCCGCTGCTCTCCCTGGTTCCACTTATCTCCCTGGTTTCACTTATCTCTCTGGTTCCACTGCTATCCCAGGTTCCACTTCTCTCCCTAGTTCAGCTTCTCTCCTTGGTTTCGCTTCTTTCCCTGATTCCACTTCTCATCCTGGTTCCCATTCTCTCCCTGGTTCCACATTTCTTCCTGGCTCCGCTGCTCCTCTCCCTGGTTCCACTTCTCCCTGGTTCCACTTATCTCTCTCCTTCCGCTGCTCTCCCTGCTTCCACTTCTTTTCCATGTTCCACTACTCTCTTTGGTTCCATTTCTCTCCCTGGTTCCACTTACCTCTCTGGTTCCGGTGCTCTCTCTGGTTCCCCTTCTCTCCATGGTTCCACTTCTCACAATGGTTTCACTTCTCTCTCTGGTTCCACTTTTCTCTGTGGTTTCACTTCTCTCCATGGTTTTATTTCTCTCCCTGGTTCCACTTCTCTTTCTTGTTCCACTTCTCCTGGTTCCACTTCTCTCCCTGGTTCCACTTCTATTTCTTGTTCCACTTCTCCTCCTGGTTCCACTTCTCTCCCTGGTTCCACTTCTCCTCCTGGTTCCACATCTCTCCCTGGATTCACTTTTTCTTACTAGTTTCACTTCTTTCCTGCTTCCACTTCCCTTACTGGTTTTTCTTCTCTCCCTGGTTCCACTTATCTCCCTGGTTTTACTTCTCTCCCTGGTTCCACTTCTCTCCCTGGTTCCACTTCTCTTCCTGGTTTCACTTCTCTCTCTGGTTCAACTTCTCTCAGGGTTGCATTTCTCTTTCTGCTTACACTTCTCTTCCCAGTTTCACTTCCTTTTCCAGTTTCACTTCTAAAATTCGGTGATGATGATATATGTACCAAACCTCTACAGAGTAAATAAAGTAGAGGTCAGTTCCACATTTTAATAAAAATTAGCTGAAGTGCCCGTGGCGTTGCCCTTGGAATTTTTAAAAATCAAATGTAAAAAAAATATTTGAAAAAAAGTTTAAATTATGTTTAACCTATGTTACCCCCGGGAGTCCCCTGGGTTCCCTCAAAAAATGTCACCCCATTCGGTCCAGCCGTATGGCCGGCTCTAGGGAACTAAAAATTTTAGAATATGTTTAGCCTATGTTACCGCCAGGGTTCCACTTCTCTCACTGGTTCCATTTCTATTCTTGGTTCCACATCTCTCCCTTGTTTCACTTCTATTTCTTGTTCCACTTTTTCCCTGCTTCCACTCCCCTCCTGGTTCCCCTTATCTCTCTGATTCCACTTCTCTCCCTGGTTTCACTTCTCTCCCTTGTTCCATTTCTCTACATGGTTCCACGTCTCTCCCTGGTTCCACTTCTCTTACTGGCTCGACTTCTCTCCCTGGTTCCACTTCTCTTCCTGGTCCCACTTCTCTCCCTGGTTCCACTTCTCTCCCTGGTTCCACTTCTCTCCCTGGTTCCACTACTCTCCCTGGTTCCACTTCTCTCCCTGGTTCCACTTCACTCCCTAGCTCCACTCCTCCTGGTTCCACTTCTCTCCCTGGTTCCACTTCTTTCCCTGGTTCCACTTCAATCCCTAGTTCCACTCCTCCTGGTTCCACTTCTCTCCCTTGTTCCACTTCTTTCCCTGGTTCCACTTCTCTCCCTGGTTCCACTTCTCTTACTGGTTCCATTTCTCTCCCATGTTTCGCTTCTATTTCTTGTTCCACTTTTCTTCCTGGTTCCATTTCTCTCCCTGGTTCCACTTCTCTCCCTGGTTCCACTTCTCTCCTTGGTTCCACTTCTCTCCCTGGTTCCACTTCTCTTACTGGTTCCATTTCTCTCCCATGTTTCGCTTCTATTTCTTGTTCCACTTTTTCCCTGGTTCCACTTCTATTCCTGGCTCCACTTCTCTCCCTGGTTTTTCTTCCCTTCCTGGTTCTACTTTTCTCCCTTGTTCCACTTCTCTCCCTGGTTCTACTCATCTCCCTGGTTCCGCTGCTCTCCCTGGTTCCACTGCTCTCCCTGGTTCTACTCATCTCCCTGGTTCCATTTCTCTCCCTGGTTAAACTTGTCTCCCTGGCTCCACTTCTCTCCCTTGTTCCACTTCTCCTGGTTTCCTTTTTCTTCCTGGTTTTACTTTTCTCCCTGGTTCCACTTCTCCCCCTGCTTCCACTTCTCCTGGTTCCACTTCTCTCCCTGGTTCCACATCTCTCCGTGGTTCCACTACTCTCCCTGGTTCTACTCATCTCCCTGGTTCCACTTGTCTCCCTGGTTCCATTTCTCTCCCTGGTTCAACTTGTCTCCCTGGTTCCACTTCTCACCCTTGTTCCACTTCCCCTGGTTTCACTTCTCTTCCTGGTTCCACTTCTCTTTCTGGTTCTACTTGTTTCCCTGGTTCCACTTCTATTCCTGGTTCCACTGCTCTCCCTGGTTCCACATCTCTCCCTGGTTGTACTTCTCTCCTGGTTCCACTTCTCTCCCTGGTTCCACTTCTCTCCCTGGTTCCACTTCTCTCCCTGGTTCCACTTCTCTCCCTATGTTTCGCTTCTATTTCTTGTTCCACTTTTTCCCTGGTTCCACTCCCCTCCTGGTTCCACTTCTCTCCCTGGTTCCACTTCTCTCCCTGGTTCCACTTCTCTCCCTGGTTCCACTTCTCTCCCTAGTTCCACTTCTCTCCCTGGTTCCACTGCTCTCCTTGGTTTAAGTTTTCTCCTAAGTTAACACTGTATTATCAATGATAATCATGTTAAATTTAAGGTGTAATGAATGAAAGCACTGGAACAGCATGAGAAGTATTGAAACTAGAATATAAAATACTCGGGAACCCAGCTTTACTTGGAAACTTAGTTTTCTCTTTTATTGTAAAAACACATCTAACCAAACAGACAAACAGAGATGCCGTAAGTAAGCATCTGTTTCTTGTTAAATGTTTTGAAAAGTATGGACACCCATGCTGATAAAAAACTTCGTTAATTCTAGTTAATCAAAAACTCATTTTAAAGTTTGTTAATAGAAAAGTGAAAATTGTTTGAGAAAAAGTAAACCCAGAGCATCCTCGTGCTTTTCTTCAGGTCAATAACTTACACTTTTCTTTTAAGCTTGCAGGAAAATATCTTAGTTGAAACTTTGTCTCAGAAAGGATCAAGGATCTCAGAGTTTTCAGATGCCAAGTAATTTCTTTTTAACTAAACCACATGGCGAATTCTTTGCGCCTTTAATTGTGATTACTAGGGTCTCACGTCCATGGCTTTCCCCCATTCAAGGAGCTAAATATCAATTCAAAAGTTTTCCATAGTTTAACCAGTTCAGCTGCTTAGATAAGCTAGATATTCAAACCAAAGTTTCAATCTCAGCTAGATCTACTATATTTCTGTAATTAAATAATTGAAAAATAATATTGATTAAAAATGCATCACATTATGTAGGGTTACTTTGTAATTCTTTAAACTTTTCATATATACGATGGAAGGCGATTTGTTCAAGAAAATGAAGACGACTTTTAATTTAAGTTTTGATTTATATCAAGATTTTAAAGAGAATGCATACACTAAACGCGGGGAAAAAAGAAGTTGTCAAATAAAAAAGCTTTTCTTTAATTACTTGTAAGCTTGTAATTTGAAAAAAGCTTGTTATTATTAAAAACATAAATAATAAAGTCGTGTTCATTATATTGATATAATTGCCTAACATCGTATGTAAATTCAGTATAAAGTAAACCTTCCGGAAATCTTAAAAGAATACATTTAATTTTATTTCATAAATCTCAACTCGTTAAAGAACCTGAAACTATACTATTTCATTCTCTCCTCCCCTCCCCCCGGCCCTCCTGGGTCAAAACCCTGCCTCCCCTCCCCTCCCCTCCCTACTCTTTCTCTTTCTCTCTAGATAATCTGCTGAAGGAAGATGTGTAATCTTCATTAAAAGGATTGAATCCTAAGGGAGGTCACCAGAGTATAATAAAAAATGAAGAACTAAACTTAACCAAACCAAACAAACTAAATATAACTATATATAAGCATTTGCAAACATAACATAACCAAACACAACCGTACAAAAAGTACCCCCCCCCCCCACAAAAAAAAACAGAAAATAACGAAACCAGATAAAATCAAACATAACTAAACTTCACAACAAAACCATCCTAACATATATAAATAGAACCAAACCAAACCTAACCAGACATACCCAAACCAAATCTAACTAAACAGAATCAAACCAACAAACCAAACTGATATAAACCAAACAAAACAATCAGCAAACAAAACAGAACCATCTCTAACATAGCCTAAACTTACATAACCAAACCTAACATAACCAAAACTGACATAACCAAACCTAACATAACCAAACCAAAAATAAACAACTCCAAAATAATTAAACCAAACAAAACAAACCATGAAATATAACAAAACAATCTGATTGGATTCCAAAGAAAAACTCCTAGGGGCACAACTAAAACAAAACTGAACCAAACCCTTGCCCATTTGCCCCCCCCCCCCTCGTCTGCAGAAAATATATATAAATATATATACGGGAGTCAAAATTTCGAGAAAAAAAATTGAAAATGGATTTACCATGGGCGTTTACCCCTGTTTAGACACCCATGACGATATTTATGTGCTATTAATATAATTTCGTCATTAAATTTTTTAAAATTTTGAAAATCCGCGAAATTTTTGGTGAAAATCCGCGAATTATTTTTGTTTAGTTTTACGATGTACACAAAGAGAACATGTTTACAACTAATTTAGAAGATGGGCGCGAAGCGCCCTCTAAGGCTAGAAAGAAGGGCGCGAAGCGCCTTGAATTTCTAGTATTAATAATAAATGATTGTAAGTTTAGTTGAAATGCTTGTTTTACCTTGAATCCATATTCTGCATAATTTCACCTAGAACCACTCATTTCTTTTAAACTAATTAAGGATGCACTTAGCTCACTTCTTTAAGCTAAAAGCTACACTTAATTAACTCAGGTTATACAGTACACTTCTCCCAGGCCTCGTACTGTTGTACTGTATCCAACCGTTCACTCAGGTTAAACAGTACACAATTTCAACTTCCTGTACTGCTGTACTGTATATTCAACAGTTCACTTCGATTCCTTTAACCAGAGCAAGTCTCTAGAATATCTGAAATAAGGAAAATAAAATTTTAAAAGTGTTGCTTAAATAATTGATGTGCAGTGTCCCAAAGTACAGTGAACAATTTACATGTAAATATTCTAAAGGATTAAAGCAAAGAGAACGAAGTCGAAGTTAGAATTTGAGTCGTATTTTGATTATTAAAAGTTTTTTGAATTTCTACACGCTTCAGAAAATCTGCCAAGTCCTTAACAATTTAAATTTTTACACACTTCAAGTCTGTTTTAATGAATTTATGCTTAATGTTGAATTTTGCAGAATATATTTGCCTGAACGAAGCAAACCAATCGTTCTTTAAAGACCGATAAGACTTATATCTGCATGTAAAGTAAAAGCTAACTGTAGAGCATAAAATAAATTAAACTAATTAAATTTTTGTGGAACGGCTAGAAATCCAAAAACCTAGAATGTTTTTTTTTAAGGTTAACAATGCCTTATCCTATTTGAAGTTGAAGATAAGCATCGTTTTTTTTGAACGAAAGAAATTTTTGAAAACAAACGAAATTTTTTGTAGAAAAGGGTGTCTTACAGAAAAAAATCGATGGACGAACCAAATGAACCGTTCAGAGAAATGAAACATTAGGTTTTTTAAAACCAATGAAAATAAGAATGATTAAAAATCGTTCAAACGAACTTTAAAAAAAGGTAGTTTTTTACTGAACGAACGACATTTCCAAAAGATTTTGAAAAAACTGTAGTTTTTTATTGTGCGAACTATTTTATGGACAAAATATTTAAAAAACAATAGATTTTTACTGAATGAACGATTTTATCGAAATTTTTTTTGGAAAAGAAACTGTCGAAATGATGAAAAGTGAATAATAGTTTTAAAAACAAATGAAATATTATTTTTTTGAATGATAAAAAAACGAAATGAGTCGATCACTAACGTTGAATTACGAACGAAATAAAAAAACCGAACGTCCCCATCTCTATTTGAAGTGCAACACAATGAATGAGATGATAGCTCTGAGTAAAGTAAAAGAAGAAGGTATTGTGTATATAAATTGTGTTTACTGTATCTAGGTTAGAATAATAAATGGGTTTAAGTTCTGTTTCGAATACCTGGCGAGAACTTAAATTTGAAATTATACTTTTATATTTTTCTTTATAGCTGACTATAAACTGTAAACCTTAAACATAAAGAAAACATGTTCATTGTTCAAGGATAAATATAATAAATAACTTTATAAGAATAAATAAAATTTTTAGTCGAATGCTGATGTGACTCTCCATCTAAAGATTACTTAAAAAGATTCACAAGAGTGTCCTAAAAACCATTGCCAAAACTTTTACGGAATAAATCTATCAGGAAAATGGACAAGGTTTGTGTTTAAGAATCATTCTCCACAGAATACTTTTTTAATTAAACTGCTCATGTACGTACTCAGCAGTTGATAGTAGAATGATACCTATAAGCTACGTGCACAATCTATTTTTAGGATTTTTTAAGATCATATTTGTCCTTTAAAGAAAAGTTTCTAGATGATGCAAGAAATAAAGCTGTGTAGTTAGGCATCAAAAATCCAAAATCTGTTTCTTAATGAAGCTACATGGTGCTTATTGACTTATATTTCAGTGTGTCTATTAAAATATTGAAATATCTTATTTGGTGATAAGATTTAAGAAAAACAGAAATTACTCAAAGAATCTTAAAATCCTAGCGGCTAAAAATATATCAATAATGGATGGAAAGCCATTTAGTTTGTCACAAACTAAAATTTCTAATCCCTATATCTTTTTAACCTGATGGTGTAAAGCTTTAATATTTTAAACTTAGACTCTTTGGTCTCACAGAATTCATAGTTTTAAAAAATCAAAGGTTTACGACATCAGGTTACTAACATAAAGGTATTAAAAAATCATTGTAGCAAGAACTAGGTTCCTTACAGAAAATTCACAGATACAATTTTTTCCTTTTATCTAGACCTACAATTTTCAAATTTTTTGCTCTTAAAAATTCATAAACAAATATCTTCCCATGGGAACAAACTTATTTTAGCCATGGGATTCCTGCCCGAAACAAAAATAGTTTGATTTTTAAACCCTGTAAAAAGTTTAATGCTAAAGTTTATAATTTAGTTTAGTATATATTGAGCTGTATTG